AGTCCGCGGTGTGCCTTTAATCCCGTGTGTGCTTTTAATATTTTTTTTTTTTTTTTTTTTTTTTTCCATTACTTGTGATTTTATTCTGTTTTTAATGTATTTATTGATGTCTCTGATTTGTGTGATATTATGTGGGTTGTGAGGCGCTTTGAGTGGCCTTGTGTTGGAAAGGCGCCATACAAATAAAGTTGATTGATTGATTGATTGATAGATGGTATAATCATTAAAAAATTGTTTATCTGTATTTTCTTTTGTTCGTTAAATATATTTCTCATCTTTAGCCTCCTGTTGAGATCCTATAATTTAGCCTTTTTTGAAGCAGTAGTCTCCCTCGCTATGTTATTGCTGTGAACTTGCATTGATCCATCATCCACATCGCAAATGCCTCCTCCGCTTCAAAAAGAGCCGGAGTCAAGAAGAGCACATTTGTTCGCGTGCGGCGGAGGAAGAGTGTGTTTTTGACAGTCGGCCTGATTAAGGTGCCGGCTGCGGAGGTTTAGAGGAATAAAAGGAACCTAGGAAGCAGAAGATAACATGATTTATGGCAGATGTGCAGCCAGAGATAAATGACAGGCGGAATATCAGATTTCAGAAAGAGGAGAATAAAGCAGGTGATTAGTGAGGAGCAGTCACACACCAATGCAACAATGGAAAAGGTTTGGGTTTGGCTTGTAGTAGTATTTTTAAAAAAGTTGTATAAAATATGGTGAACTGTGACGAGGGATTTGACGATGTTGGCTTTTAAGGTACAGTGGTGTTTACATTACCTTGACTTATTGGCGACATGGAGACGGGTAATGTTTCACTGGTTTTGAGGTAGAAACGGAAATCTTAAAGTTATATAGTAGGATTTTCTGCTTCTGGGTTGATCATACAATTTATTCTTGTATATCCCTAAATCACAACAGCAGACATCCCAGAGGACTTAACAAAACCATTGAAATCACCAACACAGATCAGACAATCAACAGTTAAGACTCTAAAAATATAAAACATGTATACATAAACACATATGTATTGGTCCATAGGGAGAGACCGATGTCCATGAATGTTGATTGAATTTGGGAAAATCCTCCTATTTACCTTTAACGAAGGCTGTCATTGAGTCCTATTTTTTTATTCATGGCAATTTTTTATTTACAAAAGTTATTTCAATAGACTTGAATTCGACAGGACAGATCAGAACAAAAAGAGAATTGCAAAAAACACATAGAGCCATTGGTCTATATGGGGCAGATGACCAATGTCCATGAATGTTGATAAATATCCATGAATGTAATCGATTTGGAGATCATGAAAGCTCAGTGAATATGTTTTTTTTTTAAGAGTTTGACCTAACTGCTGTACCTTTTGTTGTTTATTGTACTGTAAGCAACAATGTATTATCACTGTTATCTGTAAAAGTAAAAAAAAAAAGTTTGACCTAAACAACCCTGTACATCCTTACAAGGAAAAGTTGGAGGAAACGTTTATTTCATTCTGTATTAATTTCAGACCTGTCTCTTTGGGCCAATGTTTAGTCTGTGTATGGTTCAAAAACTGATTGTCCTGTTGATAAAGTAGTGGACAAATATTCCAATGACCTCACCACTGCCCCTCTCCTCTTATTATTCTTGAATGCAGTGATTGAACGGATACCTTTCCTGTGGCTGTTTTTTTTTCTCCTGATTTGTTTTGTGTCTTTCAATCCTCTCCACGGTTGAGTTTAGACCATGGCGTCATTTAAAAACTGTATACACACATGTAGACTATAGACTTTTCATTTCAACCCTGTGACATTGTTCTGAATTCTTCTGAAGACGGATTCATGACTGTTTTCTCAAAATCCAGATGACGGCTTAGGCTGCAGAGAAGAGTGGTGCTTATATCACTCATTGGACTAAAGCAAGACAAAGCCTTGAGATAAACCAGGATTAAACCAGGATTCATCCATGACTGTATCAAGAAACCCTTCCAAAAACAAAGCGTTGCACACTCAAAAATATATTTCAAAATTAGGATTTATTTGATGACGTTTCAATATTCTCTTTGTTTCCAATGAAAAGTAAAATCATTTAGCCTATTATGGCAGAAACATTAAATACAATTTTATTTTATGCTTTGTTTTGAAATGGTTTCCTTTTCTTTTACACCTCATGAAGACCTTTAAGATATGATTAAAAATACCATTATTTGTCCTTCAGTTGGGACATTTTCAGGGAAATTGATGCGCTACAATTTTTATTTTTTTTAAATATACCAGAAAACCAAACAAAGTCCAAGCTAGGACTATGCAGGACTGGCCAAACAGAGCCCGTCTCAAAAAGGTCCGTGAGCATGTGTGCTGACATGCTGCAATCTCACTCCTTGTCTGTGGGGGTGTACCCGGAAAGAGAATTACCCAAGGCTTTTGTCTTGTGTCGTCTTTCCTCTGGAAAACGTCTTAACACGATAGTCCAAAAGTCGCTCTTGGTCCACTGCTATGTTCTAGATCCTGGGAGTATTTTTTTGGGACCAGTCTAGTTTAGCCGCTATGACTTTTGAATGCACTCGTTAAACGAATGGGACTAGTGCCGGCTGACGCTTTTTCTTGCCCCGCGGCCATTTTGAAAAAGCCCACTGAAGGCAAAAGAAGAAAAGTGATGACACATTAGTTTCAAAGATGGAGATAGGCGACACTACGTCCGTTAATATTTACAGTCTATGATTTAAACCAAGACTATGCTGGACTGGCCAAACAGAATGAAAACTAGTTATCTTTTTCAATTCTGCTGACTTGTATCTTGTGCCTAAACCAGCACTAGAGACAGAGGTCTGAACCAGGCCATAGAATCCCAGATACCGTTGTCAGTGATGAAGATGAGTCGCGGTGCCGGCTTCCTCTCGGTGGTAGACGTGGACGCAGTGAAAGAGGGAGCAATAATCCGTTGTGTGTGCACTGTGACAGTGATGCAGTCGCAGAAATGATGACTCTATGTAAATGGGCCCGTGTGAAGGAGAGCCTCGTAAACTCATTCTTCACACAGACTATCGCGGCCACACATCTCTCCACTCACTCACCACGTCCCATACGCGTCAATATTTCTTCTGCTGTTGCGGCGTTCAGACTTATCTCCCCCTCAGATTGCGGCGTTTGCAATGATGGCTGCTCCAGTTTGGAAATCTTGAGAGCTTCAGGGATCCTTCAGGGAAATGTTGTTTGAGAAATGTTTTATGTACAGTTTGACTTTTTAATAGACCAAAGTTGATAAGCCAGTTGCGGGTGAAGTAGCCGTAACACTCCCAATATTTTATTTTTGTGCCCGTTCTAGATTGTCTTTTTCCCCTGTATTTGCCCAGTTTTACATGAATGAATATTACTTATTACTAGAATGTTAAAGGTACTTTTAGTTACTCAAAATGGAAAAAAATCATATTTATCAATAACAAATGTGACCATATCTACCTCCACCTTGTTTTTGAATTGTTGTCATTGGATTAGAATTTGACTTTAAAAAGTACATGCAAGATGGAGGACTCTCTTGTCAATGTGCCATCTGGAGATAAATTGGTTGAAAAGGGACAAAAAGGATGATGAGCGGGAGTTGGGGACCACTGTCAAAGGCTACACATTTTTCTTCGAAGCTACCCTAGTACCGAAGATTGCAATGCATGATCTCCACACTGGATGAGGGTAAAAACTACACAGTGTACCTTTAAAGAATCATCCATCTATCCATACTCTTCCCCTTTGTCCATTATGGCAATCAGCCAGAATGTTAAAGAATCCATATGGAATATTTATAATGAATTATTTGTGGTGCTCAAAAATTATAATTATACTATTTACACTTACTATATAACTTCATGTTTTATAAAGTGCAGTACTTAAAAATATCTGGTAGATCAAGAATGAATAGTATAAAAAACGTTTCACCTGTAAATCCCTATGTCAACACCCTCTGAGCGTGGTGTCATATCGTGGTACAATGACATCATACTATTAGAGGCCTGAACCAGAATGTTTTTGACAGAAGGGGTGTTGTTACATAGTTATTCCTGAAGCTGGATGGCTCCAAAAAAAAACAAAAAACGCCAGGTCTGTTTTTGATGAGGGAACAATTTTGTAACAGTTAAATGTGAGTCTATTCTTCAAAAAAAAACTTGCTTCAGTGACATTGAGTCAATGACATGTTTTTCCAAGTGAATATCTGTTCCTTTGTTTGGATAAATGTATCGCTACCTAGCAGCTAGTTAATTTAATATACATACATGAAATAGCTTAGAGAAGCAAATCTAAGTGCTTTATTTTTCCGCCTGGTTTGTACATCATGTCAGTTGGGAATAGGGACCAACTTTCTCATGGAAATGACCAAACTTCCTTAAGTCTGGCTTGCTACAAAAACAGTTGTGCTGTGTCTTGTCCGCTGTCTTAAGTCCCCTGAACCTCTGGCCATCTGGCTGCACCACTGTCACTGTAACTGCTAATTTACACATCACGCGTTACAGCACGTACGCGTTATACGCGCAGCAGACGCGCGTAACTTTTTTCCATGTTAACCTATGATGATATTTACACTTCTAGCGTTATACGCGCGTATGACGGACGTATGACGCAAAGGTGCGCTCTAATTTAGGATGGATTTCTAATTTTGTGCGCGCACCAACGCGTCTCCCATTGAAATCTCATGTAAACATGATTTTTCTAGCGGTCCTTGGCTTTAGATCACATCTGCACACACACAGCACTTGTGTCTAAACATCAGCAGGAGGAGCAGCAGGTTTTACAGTGATTCTGGACATCGTTTTTTTTCTTTCATAAAGTCTCGCGTCTGGCCAAACCAGCGCACAGAGACCATGAAGACAAACACATGCATGTGATTTGTGTTCAGAAGACGCGGACCTGCGCGCACGGCCTGTGTAGATACTCCAAAAAAAATTTACGCGCAGAGAGCGCGCAGTAAACGCGTACGCGCTGTTTACGCCACTGTGTAAAATCCCTGTAAGACATGTTTCCACATTTTCTGTTTTGTCGTTTTCAGTGGCCAATGGGAGCTACTCTCACATGGACGAGGAGGAGGATGCGGAGTTGTATGGACAAGATTTCTCCCTCCAGCAGAACGCATATCTGCATGAGAGGTTTGTGTAAAGCTGCACTCTCTCTAATCCTTTCACAACATTTGAAATACTATGTAATGCTACAAACATGTACTGCGAGGAAATTGTAAGACATTAAATGGGAAGTTTGCAATACTTTACTTTATAAGATTACTATACATTAAGCAAAATTATTTACCTCATATCATAAACTAGAACTTGCGTCAACATTTCTCGAGTCTGGTAAAAGTACGCTAGGCTACTGGCATTCTGTTAGCTTTACTGTGCGTGGCCAAATTCAATAAAGGTAAAGGTCAGCTTGACTTGGCTTCACCACATTTCTCTTCACTGCTGTGTAAATGAGAAATCAAGAATTTGCTACAACCCAGCTCTGCACTGTGTAAGGAAGATGTTAAAATAGTAACTAAAATCATGATCAATAGGACAAATGGAAAGTTATTTTATGATCAATCTTACAATCTCTAGTGGACAGCTCCCTCCATAGTGATTATTATGTTGTGAAAAATGATTTCAACAGTGTTTGTCATGACATTTCCATTTTCAGTAATCAATTCACACCATTTCATGAACATGATATGATAGGATTCATAAACACTTTTTCAGAGCTAACCAGCACGCTGCATCTCAAACACATACACACATAGACGCAAACACACGCTCATTAGCCCTTGAATCATAATAATACATTGTTGTCAATGCATATTAAGTTGTCTTAATTGAATCTCCCCTTTTTCCTCTTTTTCTCCTCTACACACACACACACACACACACACACACACACACATTGTAATACCCCTTGAGTAATGAAAAAAATTTTTCCCAATGCATGTTAATCAAATCTCTCTTTTTCCACTACTTTTTCTCCTCTACACACACACACACACACACACACACACACACACACACACACACACACACACACACAATACCCCTCGAGTAATACTTTAAAATTTTTCTCAATGCATGTTAACTTGTCCTAATCAAATATCCTCTGTTTCCCCCTAGTTTCCGAAACAACCTGAACTACGTGTTGTCCCAGAGCCAGAATCCTCGTCAGTTTGTCCACGTGAAGGCGTCAAAGAGCATGGACTTGGGTACGGCCGCGAGCCGGCAGCACACTGGTGGGACACTCTAAACATGTCTGAGCTCTGCATGAGGCTGATGCATGTTCCATAACTGCTCATGCACGGCTGCTGCACGAGACCTGGAAGCCACACTATCAGAACACACTGTGCAACAGGCAGAGGGAGAAGTTATTAGGTTATCACATTGTGGCATCCCGGGTGCCTCATTCATAGGGCCATTATATCAGCACTATGCTTATTATCCACAATCGTCTTTTTGGTTTAAGGTTTAGCCATTGCCAATATTATTAGTGTTATTCTCCATGCTAATATCAGAGACTTCAGGCCCAAATCTGCATAAATATTTCCCCATCCCTCTGCTTCCCTTCTGTTCTATTGCTCCCATCTCCAACCAGAAGAATTATCACACTTCCAACATCATAGGAAAATCAGTTTTTCTCATTTAAAGCAAAAATTATAGCTTCCAAGAAAAAGTCTTTCATTCTCAATTTTATTTGACAAAAATTCTGCGGACAGATTTTAAATTATTATTATAATTCATCTTTATTTCAGAATCAAATTAAATTGATTCTTATTTGAAAATGATATGTATATTATGGACCAATCAGTCCGAGCTGTTTGTACAGGGACATGCAAACTCCACTCAGAAATAATAATAATAATAATAATAATCTTTATTTGTATAGCACTTTTAAAAACAATGTTTTTACCTTTCGTCCGGAGCCTCGACCTTGGAACAGTCAACAGGGACCTGCCCGAGGATCTAAGGCTGCGGGGGGGCTCGTAGGGGGTTAAAAGTTCAGAAATATAGCTGGGTGCCAGACCTAAACAAGCTTTAAAAGTAATCAGTAAAATCTTAAAATCAATTCTAAAACGCACAGGGAGCCAGTGGAGAGACGCTAAAACAGGGGTGATGTGCTCCCTTCTGTTAAAACCAGTGAGAAGTCTGGCTGCTGCGTTCTGGACCAGTTGGAGGCGGGAGAGGGATTTAGCATCAAGACCGGAGAGGAGGGAGTTGCAGTAGTCGAGGCGGGAGAAGATGAGGGCGTTGACAACTTTATGGAAATCGGGAGGAGTGAGGATGTTTTTAATCTTTGAGATGGTGCGGAGGTGATAGAAGCAGGTTTGGGTGGTTTTATTGATGTGGAAGCGGAAGGTGAGGTGAGAATCGAAAATGACACCAAGGTTACGGGCGGAGGGAGTGATGTTTGAGGATAGAGGGCCGAGGTGGGTTTGGATGTGGGATATGGATGGAGGCGGGTTGATGAGGAGGACTTCTGATTTGGAGGTGTTGAGTTGAAGGAAGTTGTGGGCCATCCAACGGTTCACATCGTTAAAACAGTCGACCACAGCAGCCAGACTTCCAGGGTCGTTTGGTCTCAGCGGGAGGTAGATCTGTGTGTCGTCCGCATAGCAGTGGAAGGACACGTTATGACGGGCCATAACGTGTCCAAGGGGGAGCATATGAATAGAAAATAAAATGGGACCTAAAATAGAACCTTGCGGCACACCACAGGTAATGGGGGCTGTTGAGGAGGTAAAATCACCCATGGTGACCGCAAAGGTTCTGTCTAAAAGATGAGAATGAAACCAACCAAGTGCAGTATTTCTGATGCCAACCCACGTTTTGAGGCGATCCAATAAAATCTTGTGGTCGATCGTGTCGAAGGCTGCGCTTAGGCTGCGCTTAGGTCGAAGGCCCTGTTCCGACCCGGATGCAAAGCCAGGACCTTGTTGCTGAGAAGCGAGAGTCCTATCCACTCAGCCACCTGCTGCCCAATAATATCACTAAAACGCACATGAACAGCACATGACTGTCTCTGATGTGTCTTCAGTGTAACAGGATGAGCCTATAGTAAATACTTCTTCCATGGATTCTAAAACAAATTCCATACAAAACCTTCATTTGTGGTTGAGGTGAGGCTGGGACAGTTAGAAGCTATAGAAGTTGGCCTCCAGGAGCTGAATCCAAGTCTGTGTTTTGTTCCCATAAGCATGTAATGGCTTGCACTCTTAATATTAATTTATGCGCTGCATGAGTGTTTGTCCAATAACACTAATCTGCTCTTTCGTTTTGGGCCTGTCCACACAGTCAAATTCAGGCCTAAACGCAAAAAAATATGTTAAATATCCTGTGGATCATGGTAGGATATGATTTTTATCTTTACGTGGAAAATATGCAACAAACTATAGCCAAGAGGAGAAATGCATTGTACCAGGTTATAGCAGCAGTGCTAATTTACATTTGAAGTCCATGGAGCCGGTGTTTTGAGGGTCTGAAAACCACATTTCTGATACTGGGTTCTAAAGTGGAAAGATCTCAAAATCACCGGTCTGTGTTTAGTGTCATCACCCTGGAACAATGGCGCTGTACGGTGTTGGTTGTGTCCTGCTGAAGTCAGTTAGCCTAGTAAAGCTATTGCAAAAACATGTATTTGGCCATTATGCACGTTAGATCTCAGGTCACGTGTTTTCAAAAATCAATTACATTTTACAATGAAGAAATAAAGAACTAAAATGTGTATACTAAGAATTGCAGTGCTAAACAATGCCTGACGAAAAGCGGTTTAGGCTAAAGCCCAGACCTTTCTTGCCGAGCCCCTATTACAACTGTGACTATACGTCCAAAGACACATCACACAGATTCTCAAATGCCAAAGATGGTGACATGCATAAAACTTAAACTTCAACAATCCAAATTATGTTATGCCCACTAAATCTCTTAACAGGAATCTGGCCTTGATCCCTTTTGCGTCACAGCGCCCCCAACAGGCCTGGCATAGTTTCACAGCGTTTTCATGTGGACGCAAACATTAACCAAGCTAACTCTACGTTTTGGAGAGTTTTTGACTTTGTGTGTACGCAGCCTGAATTCCCCACAAACACTAAATTCAGATAGACTGAATTGTTTGATACACATAACAAGCTCCTGTTTTGTTTTTGCCATGACAAAGAAAGTTCTCTGCTTTGAACCTGCTTTCCACATGTTGCTCATAGATGACAGATTTGATGCTGACATTTTGATGGTTAAAAAAACGTGCGATTTATGATTGCTAATGTTCTGGCCCGCATTTGTGTACTATGACTTTTTACGCAGCCTGTAGACAATGGCGTATTGTTTGAAATGTCACTCCCTCTCTAAGCTGGATTTGCAAAGAGAGAGAAATAGACAGAAGAGGAGGGATTGTGGAAATTGCTTTGAATAGAAGTCGGCTACGATACGCCGCATGTCCGTACATCAAGCCCCTTTGTAGTTTTTACGCACTTGATCTTTGCTAAATGCCAAACGAACTAAATTAGCTTTTCAGTCATGATAGCGCAACTGTCAATGACAAAATGCGTGGATTGCACTAAAAACAAGAGGTCTGATTATTAAGAACTGTACAGGAAGCAACACAAGGTTTTGTACTTTTGTTGTAATTGTTACATATATTTCAGACTTTTTCCCCAGACGTGAGGAAAAAAGAGGTCTTGCTTCATGCAAATAAAAATAAAACATTTATTTTCCATCAATTGGGAAATTTCAGACTTCGGTCACAAGTGAAAGGACAGTAGGAATGAGTAGCGAAAAACACAATATAAGTAGATATTACGTATAACACAAGCCTAAATTTTAAAAAATGAAATAAAATCACTATCTTTAGCTTAATGAAGAAGACATTTTAAAACGCTGCCTCCTCTAGTCCAAGAAATACTTGATACTTGCAACGCATATACCATATTTTGCCATGAGATCAACATTTCTATATATATATAAAGTACACACTAACGGGCAAGGGTTTTTGTGTCTGCAGAAAATAATTATCTTTACATAATTACTGTCAAACCTATTTTAGTGTAAATATGTGAAATTGTGTTCTGCATGTTTCAAATAGATTGAACTAATACTAATACATCCACACAGTTTAGAGCTTAGATTCATCCTGTTAAATCATTTTTCGGTTTGTTTCAAAATAATAAAAATAATAATTCCTTTCACATCTAAAATTTGGCCATTTTTACATGGCAGGGAAGTATGTTTCCATCTATGTTTGTTAGTTTTGTAAAGGTTTTGGTCGTATGTTTACAAAATTCTCAGTAAATCTCTTGAGTTCTGGACTCTATTTTATTTATATTTAATTTTTTTTTTCACAGTCTGATCTCTACTTTTTAAGTCACGCAATTCGAATGGCCAACTTCATCGAATAGTGCCTCTCCAACTTCCTCTTACTTATCTTATGTAAGCATACCTGTAACTAATTGCTGCAGTCTCTGGTACACAATAATACTTTATTGCAATATGTAAATCCAATTCAATTCAAAGTATTTTTGTATACCCTCAATCCACAACAGCAGTCGTCTTATCAGACTTTACAAAACTGTCCATTCGCCAACACTTAGATCTCAGGAAATGCGATTAAAACAAACACAAATGAGCCATTGGTCCATATGCCCAATGTTCATAAATGTACATACAAGGTCCTTTTAAAGCTTCCTAAACTTTTGTTTCTCTCCCTCTTGTTGACAGTTGCAAAGCCAGCATTACATTCCCAGTTACATCATATCATTTGTACTAAATTTCAACAAACTCAATATTCCACTGATCATTCCTTAATATTATAAACTCGTACTCGGCCATGACAGTCTCCTCACAATCACTGGCCTCTTACTCTTTCCCTCTAAACACGCTTGTATTTTCGCCAAGTTCCCTTATAACTGTATTCCTGAATCATTGCACCATCACCGGCTGCAGGACATTGGCACCGAGAAGTATTTAAGTAATTGGATTTTCTTTATTTCTTTCATAAAGCGGTTATTTTTCCTCACTGTGCTCACATTCAGAGGCACAGTTTCAAAACAATGTTTGGGAAAGGTTTTAATTTAGTTAGTCCGTCTACAAAATCACTCTTCCTCTTCTCCGAGGCTTTATAATTGGAATAATGTGATTCATTGGAAGTGAATGATGAGTTCCAGCACAAAATGGAGGCATTTTTCATTCTAAAAAGCCAAACTGTATTACATGTTGGCTCTATTTTTTTCTTTTTGGAGGGGCTACT